GAGAGAGAAGACACACATATGTGCCTATATGTATATCTCGCGCTCTCTCTCTCTCTCTCTCTCTCTCTCTCTCTCTCTCTCTCTCTCTCTCTCTCTCTCTTTCTCAATCTCCCTTCCTCTCTCCGTCTCAATCTCTCATTCTCCTCCTTTCCCTCATTCTCGCCCCCCCCCTTTTCTCCCTCTCTCTCTCTACCACACACTCTTTCTCGCTCTCGCTGTCTCTCCCCCTTCCCACCTTTTCCCACAAGCTCCCTCGTAATTTCTTTCTGTGTGTGTGTGTCGTTGCATTTCTCACGCGTGCTCTATGTGCCCCGCAGAGTACAACTGCGAGCAGGAAGTCGAGGGCCGCCCGTATTGCCGCTTGCCTGCGAAGACGGGCTGGTACTACAACAAGGATACGCAGACGTGCAAGACGTTCCACTGGGCCAACTGTCCCGGGAACGATAACAACTTCGATAGCAAACAGGAGTGCCTGCGCCGATGTGGAGGTACGTGCGGGCACATCGCCCACAGTTAGAAGAAACAATGTAAACCGTGTTTCACCGTTATCATCAACGATATATTTATCGCCATTACTATTGCTATCATTATAAGTCACATCATTATCCTCCTCCTCCTCCTCCTCCTCACCATCCTCCCCCATACTCCTCCTCCTCCTCCTCCTCCTCCTCCTCCTCCTCCTCATCATCATCGTCGTCGTCGTCGTCATCACTGTTATCATCATCAACATCACCAGTAGCAGAATCATCATCTAAGGCCCTTCTTCGATATGATAATTAGCCATAATGCGCCAGCTTCGTCAGCTTCTCTCATCACCTCACTCATCATCCAGGCTTCACGACTCCAACCCACGCCCTGACAGTATCACCTCACGTTCTTCTCACCGTACACCACGCGTTCTTTGTCTGTTCTACCTCCGATAACATTTTCCGTCTCAGGTTACATCAACCTTACCTAGATCCTCTAATATAAAATCAGCTTTAATGTAAACATTTAGTTACGATAGAGAGGGCGGGATGGGGGAAGCCCCCTCCCCACAAGTAAAGATCGGGGCAGTGCTAACTACCTTGCTTTGTGGTGCATTTAGTCGTTGAATATGAGCGTCTTTTGTATTTCCATGAGTGTGTGAGCTGATTTCATTGAGGCACGGTACGTGAACTACGGTATATAAAATCCATTCAGTCAACCCTGTATTTTTGGAGTGATTATTGAAAGCCCCCAAAAATGTTCTTTATAGACAGGCGTCAGTTCTATAGAGGTGTTTTCATTGCATAAATGATGCTAAAAAGAAACGTCAAAAATTGTCCTTTATAAACAGGTGTCCGTTCTATGGAGGTGCATTCACTATACAATTGTCATTCAAGGGCAACGTTAGAAGTGTCATTTATAGACAAGTGTCCGTGCTAAAGAGGTGCTTGCTACGATTTATTCACTGTATATTTTTTTCTAGGTCTGTAAGGCATCAAACAATGCCTCAAACGGAGGAAGCACGTGCCATCCTGCATGATGACGACATTATTTTCAAATGAAAAGAACTCCATTCCCAGGCCTTCAGTAACGGAGTCCTTTCGTTCTCAAGCACCCGTATGTTTTGCAGAACGGCGTTTATAGCCGCGGTATAAAAAACATCTCCAACCTTTGGTAACCGACCAACTAAGTTTTTAGGAAATAAATTTATGGTGTTTGTGAAATGGCAAGATAATTATTTGTTTTTATTTTTACACGAGGCAGTTTACTCTTTCCTGTAACGATTATGCTGGGGTATAGATGGTATTTCGGCTAAAATACAAACTGCACAGAGATATTTCAGCTCAAAACAAAAACCGCATACAAAGCAGAGCGAGACATCTAACGATCAAGTGCGCTATGCGAGGAATGAGTGGTGGTGGTTGTATCACCCCGGGACAACCCCGGGAAATGGAAATCTAGCTTCTTTTCAAAAGATAAATTCGGGCAAAATCTCAGGCACTTTACAGCACTTAGAACAGAGGCAGAAAAACCACGCATTACTTATTTAAAACAATACTGACTCACGAAAAGCTCTCAACGGAACTCTTAACATCGAAAACTCATGTACTGGCGAACAAAATCTCATTTCGTCCACCGCGCCGAAAGTTCTACTTAAAATTCACCTGCTCCTGCCCTACCTACACCCCAGACCTACGTCAAGCCATGTTTAACTATAACGCGAGACAGCCGACTCTCCACACAGGTCCATGAGTCCAACACGTACCAGGGGCGTGTACATGATTTGTACCAGGGGGTGTCTAACCGTAACCCAAACTTGCGAGCACGCGAAGGGGGGATATGGGGGGCCCTCCCCATGAAAATTTTTGAAATTATACCCCCTTAGATACGTTTTCTGCGCGAGCAGGGGGTTCCGGACCCCCTGGACCTCCCCCCCCTGTACACGCCCCTGCGTACGCTGCCGCGACATCTCAGGCGCTTACGCCAACACGGCTATATTTAATAAATACGAGAAAAGAACTCGACGACGCGTGTTTGCTGATCGAGCGACGTCACCGCCGCTGTAAACAATGCCTGCCTCGCGTGTTGATATCAGCAGTGCACAGGTGGTGCCTATCCCAGTCCGCTACCAGCTCCAGTTCACGTCGCACGTACCATCCACCGCCATGGCCGTGCCGTGGAAACCAGCAGCACTGCTGCTCGTCAGCGCAGTCGTCTGCTTACACGCGTATCAAGGTGAGTGAGTGGTCACGCGCGACGCCCGCGGGGGCGCTTACGACGTTACGAATCCGCGCTAATCACGAAGTTGAATCTGTGTTGTTGCCAGCTCTCGCGCGCCGCCACTACCAGCCTATAAATAATTTCTTAAGTCTATTAATATATATACGTCCACTTGCAAATTCGCGTACGAGGTTACTAGATCGTTTGCCCGAAGGAGTGGTAGCTCCCGACTCACACCACTATATCATTATATCATAACTACTACCTCATACATATAATATATCATACTTACTCAATATATATATAAGCATGCCTGCTCCTTTGTGAAACTAAGAACAATTATCCAATGTCTACTCGTTTCATAAACATCGGTAGCGAATTAAACCAGTGAAATTGCTATGATCGAACGTTAACAAATAAGATTCTGCGTGCCAGTATTTCGTTTATTGCCTGTTCGCACTATTTCCCACTCTAGATGTTCTTATTGTTGCTCAACTCGTGCCAGAGCTGGTCATCGGGACGCCAAGGTTGCAGAAAGCAATCAGAAATATATACTACCCCAATTTCATACAACGTCAACAGACGCGTAGAGACGATACAGACGCGATACAGACGCGATACATACGCGATACAGACGTACAGACGCGTAACGGGGGAGAGAGCGATCCCTCTATATAACACGTCTAATTCGGTCCCTCCTCACAGCTATACGGATAGAGGTCAGTGAGGAGGGGGAGAAGGACAGATGCAACCTGGAGGCGCCCTCTTTCGAGAAATGTCGCGACTTCGTCGGCTGGGGTGCCGTGTCGTCCGAGGACGAGGTGCGCTACTACTACGACAGTAAGGAAGGTCGCTGTGACAGGTACGCGTCGCGCTACTGCCCCGACAGACCGGACGCGTTCACCAGCAACATCGAATGCTCGCGCGCATGCCTAGGTGAGTGTGAGGTGAGGTGAGGTGAGGTGAGGTGAGGTGGGGTGAGGTGAGGTTAGGTGATGATAGGGTGGGGTAAGACGAGATGATGTGAGGTGATGTGAGGTGAGGTTAGGTGATGATAGGGTGGGGTAAGACGAGATGATGTGAGGTGATGTGAGGTGAGGTTAGGTGATGATAGGGTGGGGTAAGATGAGATGAGGTGATGTGAGGTGATGTGAGGTGAGTGTGAGGTGAGTGTGAGGTGAGGTGATGTGGGGTGGTGTTAGGTGATGATAAGGTGGGGTAAGATGAGATGAGGTGAGATGAATGTGAGGTGAGTGTGAGGTGAGGTGATGTGGGGTGGTGTTAGGTGATGATAGGGTGGGGTAAGATGAGATGAGGTGAGGTGAGTGTGAGGTGAGGTGATGTGGGGTGGTGTTAGGTGATGATAGGGTGGGGTAAGATGAGGTGAGGTGAGGTGAGGTGATGTGAGGTGATGTGAGGTGATGTGAGGTGGGGTAAGATGAGATGAGGTGAGTGTGAGTGAGGTGAGGGAAGTGTGGGGTGGGTGTTCCGCGTGATGATAGGTGGGTAAGATGAGATGAGGCTGAGGTGATGGTGATGTGAGGTGAGGTGAGGGGTGATTGAGGTGAGGTGGGTGATGTGGAGGTGGTGGGTGTAGGTGATGGTTAGTGTGGGGTAATGATGAGATGAGATGAGGTGAGTGTGAGGTGAGGTGATGTGGGGTGGGGTTGAGTGCTCGCACGCATGCCTGGTGAGTGTGAGGTGAGGTGATGTGAGGTGATGTGAGGTATGGGGGTGGTGTTAGGTGATGAATAGGGTGGGGGGTAGTTTGTGGGGTGAGTGTATGTGGGGTGGGGTTGAGTGCCGCACGCATGCCTAGGTGAGTGTACCGCACGGTGGGAGTCGGGGCAGGGCGGGGTGCACAGGCATTGGGTGAAGGTGAGGTGGGGTGAGACGCGGCTGGGTGAGGTGGTGTGAGGTGAGAGTGGGGTCGGGACGAGGCGAGGCGGGGTGGGATGGTGTTGGGTGAGGTGATATAGAGTGGGGTGGGATGCTGTGGGGGTAAAGTGATGTGGGGTGAGACTTGGTGGAGGTAGGTAGGACTTGAGCGACGTGGGGTGACATTGGGAGGGGTTGAAATTATGGGGAGATTGCGGGGACATGGGAGAAACTGTGGTGGGAGTAGCTCAGAATGTGACTGGGTGACGACATTAGTGCTGTGTGCAATTGGGAGTAAATAAGAACGAGTGTTTGACACTGTGGGTGGGGCAAGATTATGGCGAGCGTGGAGGTGGAGTGTAATTTTTCCTCGTGGGTAAGGGGGTCACGCCAACAACACGATATAACGTCCTCACAATTAGTCGCAAAACTTGAAAAATTCTTTCAACGATTCTGCGTGATAATTTCTCTGGTTCACCCGCGATCAGGACGTGGGGTGTGCAGGTATCGTCTGCCGGTGGTCATGTGTCTCATGATGAGTGAGACTGGCTGGTACTACGACCCCACGCGCAAGCAGTGCGCAACGTTCGAATACGCCGCGTGTCCTGGCATCCTCAACAACTTTGCTAGCGAGGAAGAGTGCAGCTCATTCTGCCACGGTAGGTGCCGGCGTACTCACAGCATCACGCAGTTAACACCCTGCTTCTATTCAGCTGTATCGTAATTATGAAATCAATTAATTGATTATTAATTAAAAAGATTCATTGCGTGAGTTGGATACGTGTAACAGCTGCAAGCCTTGCAAGGATGTCGTTCGTCCGTCCGTCAGTCCGTCCATCCGTTTGTTCGTCCATGCGTCCGTGCATCCGTCCATCCGTTTGTTCGTCCATGCGTCCGTGCATCCGTGCGTGCGTGCATCCGTGCGTGCGTGCGTGCGTGCGTGCGTGCGTGCGTGCGTGCGTGCGTGCGTCCGTCCGTCCGTCCATCCGTATGTCCGTCCGTTCAACCGTGCGTCTGTCTGTCCGTCCGTCTGTATTACTGTCCGTCTGTGCGTGCGTGTGTGCGTGCGTCTGTCCTTCCATGCGTGCGTGCGTACGTCTGTCCGTGCGTATGTCCGTCCGTTTATCCGTGCGTATGTCCGTCCGTCCGTCCGTTCGTCCGTCGGTCCGTGCGTCTGTTCGTCCGTCTGTCCATATGTTCGTCTGTCCGTCCATATATCCGTCCGTATGTCCGTCCGCCCATTCGTGCGTCCGTTTGTCCGTCCGTCTGTGCGTATGTCTGCCCACCAACATATCTGTCCGTTCATTTGTCCACGATCTGTTAGTTTGTCTGCCTGCCTGCCTACCTACCCGCCTGCCTGTCTGCCCACCTGCCTGTCTGCCCGCCTGTCTGCCTGCCTGCCTGTCTGTCTTTCTGTCTGTCTTTCTGTCAGTCTGCCTTTCTGTCTGGCAGTCTATCTTTCTGCCAGTCTGTCTAATAATAAACCAACACCACACAACTAACACCACCACATCAGCTGTTGCCCTTTAACTTTTCCTCCCTCTCGACTTCTATGCCACGCCGTCTCTCTTTGACTGCAACGACGTTGACGATGAATGAATCATGAATTGCGATCATCGGTTCTTCACTGCTGTCTCTCTCTCTCTTTCTCTGTAGGTGTCTCAGGAGAGTTCGTGGATCCAGAGTGAAGCATCGACCACCCAGCGAGCCCCCTCCCCCCCTCTCTCTCTTTCTCTCTCGTTTATCAGACTCACCAAGTCATCACCGTTCCAGTAGAACGCGTGCATGCGCCAAACCCATAGTTGGCAGTCACCAGAACTGACAAACTATAGACTCTTGTGTTTCACCGATATGAATGATTATTGGACGTTGAATTTTTATTTTAAATTCTATGCTAATCGTATGCATATACTTTATCAGAAATTACAAAAGGTAAACATTTAAAGCTGATCATTAGTGTGCCCATCTGTGGCTTAACCAAATATAGGTGCCAATGGATTGAAGTGAATCGATTATTTACTGAGAAATTCCTGCGTTTATGTGATTTAACGAATGAATAATGAAAATACAAATTTCAGATTTCCCAATTAAATCTCCACGTTCAAGCAGTTTTTGTTTTGTTTTCAAACAAAAAATTCAACAAAATTTCACACGACACACCTAATGGCAATAGGTAAACGGCTTGCTACATTGCTGCAGAGACTGACCCATGTGTGTGCGTGCATCTGTGCACATGTGCGTGCATTTTGTGTGTACATGCGCGCGCGTGTATGCTCGTGCGTGCTCGTGGTCAGTATGTGGTTTTAGTTTCACTGTAGATAGAGGATGCTGACCTTTCACGACTATAGACGGGTGCTACCATTCAGAAAATCAGTCAGGCCGACATCAGTGCAAGAATTGTGCACCAGTCCAGTGACAGCCTAGCGTGCTATTCCACAACTAATTTTCACTTATTAGCGTTGAAGGATGTCTCAGTCCATTAGGGCAACATGGCAGGCAACAGAGCGTGAAGACCTGCTACATCACTACGGGGGACGTGAGGTCCGGCGATAGCCAGTGAAGGGGGGAGGGGGTTTGGAGAAAATACGTGGAAAGAGGGGGAGAGTGGAACACTCAATGAGCAGCACACTCTTACCTCCAATGGAAGTCAGCCGTGGATAGAGGAGAAGAGAGTGGAATATTCTGCATATGATAACATATAATGCAGCATATGCATAATATAATGCATATATAATGCAGCATATGATGCAGCAAACTACAACTTACCTCCAATGGAAGTAAGGCGTGGATAGAGTGTGGGATATTCATTAAGCAGCATATGATAACTACAACTTACCTCCAATGGGAGCAGCGAAGCTACAGGCGACTCCCACGGCACATGCAGCTGCCAGCATCTCGCTCTTCCGAGACTCATTCTGGGTGCGAAAACACACGTAGATTATATCCCCGCGAGTTAAACACACATTCGAATGTCGGTCGACTGAAAGCGACATCGGAAGCCATCCAAAGTTCACAACCGTTACAACAGTACCTCTAAATATCTCGCATCGATTTTGCGAGTAGATGATTCACGGGGGATATTTTTATACGCTCGCATAGTTTCATTTTTTACATACCTACCGTGGCTCTAGCAAATCTATAAAAAGAAAAGACGTGTGCATGTTTATGGAGCGGGTTCACATTAAAAAAATATGTTGATCCCGTTAAGTAAATACACTCTATTACAGGGAAACAACTTACTAACCAGTCGCCCGAAAACATTAAACATGCACATATGGTGAGTGAATAACATACAAATAAAAAATAAATGCTTCGATTTCGTCAAATTCACTTTTAATGCAACACATTAGATTGAAAGGCTAAACGTTTCTTAATTATCCCCTGCGGTGCATACAAGTATTGCACAGTTTTTTGAGAATACTGCGATAAATATTCTTACCAAAGCGACACTGATCTATCAAGAACCTGTCGCGAAACTTGAAATCTGCTCTATGACCCACGGACTTCGACTCGCAAAATATCGCAAATAATCTCCGCAAAATTATACTCTGCGCACATTTATCATGAAACGAAAAGGAACGTCAAACATGTGGCCTTTTTATGGTTGACTCGACCATTAACATTTAGTGTATGAGCGTCCATTAGTATCACGATGGCTCACCCATATTCCATACTGCATAGCTTTATTAGCAACGCGAAAGGGGAATTTCAATTATTTGTTCAGATGCACCCGGTCCTAAACTAAACATCCTATTGCAACTAAATTTTGACTACAATATTATTTATCTCGTGAAGATAAAAAGCTTTATAACATAAATAAATTATAAATAAATAAAATAATTTTTTATATATAATATTCAAGAATAGTTTTGTGATTCAGAAAACGTTTGGCGTAACACTCAATATATTAGCAACTAACTCCCAACGAGTTGAAAACAAAAACAAACACTGGCAACGCGAAACAACAGCAGCAGTCACCACTTGCCCACGGCTGTTACCACGTGATGACACAGCAAACAGGTGCGCTTTACCTCATAAATGCCCTTGAAACCTGTGATCGCCTTGCTGAGCAGTGTGGCTGTAATGCTCGCGATATGTACAAATGGTCCCTGCAAACAGATGCATACGTTATAATAAGTGCAAATAGACGTTCGTTCGTTGAGCAGCATGACCATTACTCATCACCGTACTGCCGACTGCCAAAAAAACCAATTATGAACCCTCCTCACGTACAAGTTCTACGCAAATCCATCGACGCAATCAAAGCTGATGAACACAAACGCTGCGACTACCTAACAGCGCGAGCGTGAGGGTTCCGACGTGCCTGCGGCGATCGTGGCCACATTTCTAGGTTAATAAATGCTCCTGTTGTGACTACCATTGCTTAGCCGCTTCGCTCCCAGCCACTCTGCCAACGCACGCAGTATGCATAGAGAGGATCGAGGTACGCAGAACCGCCAGAAATAAAATAATTTTCCAAGAAATGGTAAGGGAACTACGCCGCCTCACTGATAAGATTGCGTAAGCTAATCTCAACTACCCCGCTGGTCACACCCACGCACGCACACGCGCACAACATGCACACGCATACACAACATGCATGCACTAACATCCACGCACGCACTCACATCACGCGCACACATACCTCTTTCCCAACCGGGAGGCCACTTCCCAAGGTTGACGTTAGGCCGACGACCTTTGACACAAAAGTCCTGAATGTCAGGAATTCCTTGAGCACGACACCGCGTAGGATCGTCTTCATCTCCGGGATTCCAGAACCTGCAAGCACAACACATACCTTCCAGGGATGGACCCAGGATCAAGCCCATGAATGGACCAGATTCACGGGTGGATGGATCCATGACCAGATTCATAGGTGGATCCAGGACGAAACTCAGGAGTGGATCCAGGAACAGATTCATGGGTGGATCCAGGACGAAACTGGGGAGGCTGGAAAAATAGAGATTTAGAGATGGAGAAGGAGAGGGAGAGAGAGAGAAGGATAGAGAAAAATAGAGATGGAGAGGGAGAGGGAGAGGGAGAGGGAGAGGAGGAGCGAAAGAGAGCAGGAGAGATGTACATTTCTGACCAGTTAGAATAAGGGATAGCTTCGATTAGAACACACATAGGTTAAGGTGGAACAGTTTATATACGTTGTAAGGCGGAATTCGATAAATGTGTCAAGGCAGAAATGGGATAATAGGATAGTACAGCAAGTCCTTAACGTAGAGAAAATATTTTTACGTCGAACACATTGCAGCGCAAGTGCAGAGACAACATATAAGTACACTCTGACCTTTGTGGCTATGCTAACAAAAGAAACCACTTCTGACCCGCTATTTCGCTGCGGTAAATTTAGCTTGTTTATGTGTTGCGAGGCAAACTATTGGATAAGCTGCTCTCGTCACTGCCTTCACCCATGACTGAGGGCTGCGGCTGTTCATGCCATTGCTTGCACTCACAAGTACAAGCTGCGACGGTTCCCGCCACTGTGCGCACTCTCAAACACCGGCTACGGCTGTTCCCACGACTGCCTGCACCCGTCCAGGATGGACGTATCCAGCCGGATATGAGATGACCAGGTGGCTATGAGCTGAGCGCACGCACGTACCTATGGCTTGTGCGCTGACTAGGTGAGTGAATCCGTTTGAGAAGAGAATGAACACAGTCGGAAACGTGATCCAGGTGAAGAACTGCAGGGCAACATGTCCCTCCAGCTCCCTGTAGAGCCAGATGCGAGCTGCAAACACATATTATTATTATTATTATTATTATTATTATTATTATTATTATTATTATTATTATAGTCACTAACATCATTGCAAAATGAAAACATGCATTATACATCGCTCAAGTGGTGTGTGAGAGAAAAACTGTCGTGCAGCAGTTTTCTTCACGTGCAAATGTTTCGCGTGCACGCCAAGTATAAACTTCTTGCCACTTTTATGAGAAATTTGAATAACGCTCACCATAAAATGGGTTTCAGGAGATAAGTGCTAAGCGCATATGCACATTCATTGCACGCCCAATATGACGACTATTATATGACATACACTTAGTTTATGCAATATTACAACTAACCGTACTGAACCTTACTTCTATCTGACTAGCAATGCAGACCTGATAACTTCGAAAGATACTTCTACACATACACACTTGAGGGATACCATCTGAGGCTGCATGTTGCTTAACACATGCAGCGCTCCTGCAAGATTGCAAAGTATCGACCCATTTCGAAAAAGAAAGGGTGTTTAATTTTAAATTGTTTAATTACCAGTTCATTTATTTCGGATGACGAATGAATGAAACGAGGAGCTATGTAGTGACCATCAATGACTATGAGGATTTACGGCGCTGCGGTTGGGTTCAAAGTTCTTTCAGGGTCAGAGATAAGTCGAGGTCAGAGATCAGTCAAAGTCAGTTACTGTCAGGGTCAGACTTTGGTCAAGGTCAATTACTGTCAAGGTCCGAGTTTGATCAAGGCTAGATGCTGTCAGGGTCAGAGCTTGCTCAAGGTCATTTACTTTCATGGCCAGAGTTTGGTCAAGTTCAATTACTGTCTGCGTCAGTTACTGTCAGGGTCAGTCATGATCGGATCGTGTTGGGGTCAGAGTTCACGTGTGCGTACCTTCCTGGCAGTAGTGTATGCATGTGTCCATGATGTAGCTGATGCAGGCCATCAGGATGCCGAGGACAGCCAGAAACACCCAATCCTCGCCGATCTTACCAAACAGCTTCTGTACGAGCCACTGCCAGTTCGCTGGAATAATGGCCACGAGTGAGAAACCACACAGCTGCGCATAACACAGAATGACAGCAGAAGCGCTCAAAAATACTGCTGAATATACAGCCAGACGTGTGTATAACGATTACGAAACGAAAATTCCAAAATATGTCCGAAAAAAATAGTTTCCCGTTTGCATAGAGGTAGTTTCACTGAATAAATGTGACACAGACGAAATTCCAAGTTTCCTTTATAGACAGGCGGCCGTTCTATAGAGGTTATCTGCTAACACCGATTCGACTAGATACGTTAATACACTACTACAGTACACTGCAGTATTTAGTTTCATACGTACATCAGCATACGATAATACTCTGCAGGGACACAAGTCTCCTCTATGTATAGATTTGGCTACTCCTCATAGAAGAAGAATAACTATAGAAACTTTGTGATGCATGCTCAGCCTTCATGCTGCTATGAGGCTCGGCGTGTGCACAGCTAAGTAACGCAGATCACGTAAAGCTCACTACAATCATCTCGCATCCTCACATCACTACATGTTCCTTGAACAAACCCGCACGAACTTCCCCGCAACAATAGGATCCTGAATTGAAGGAGGTCGAATGAACCGACCTTTTTTAATAATCCACGCATTGAAAAGCCACTTCTGTCATGCAAGCGCAGTAAGCGATCGCGCGTGCACGTCTGCCTGCGTTGCCATTACAATACATCTATCACAACCGACGCGAGCGCGCTAATGCGATTCAATTAACCGGTTATTATATTTTTAACAATTTTACTACAGAGAGCTTACTATGTACGGGAAGATGCTCACACCGGCTTTACCGAAGTGTGAATACACAGAGTGATCATGATCACATTATGATTACATATGCTTTATAATTCGTTTAACGATAAACAGTGCAGAAATACGATTCCCCTGAAATGCTACCGTTATAGTGCTATTTTGCTCGTTTGAGCGCGCGTTAACGTTAACAAACGAATGATTACCATACGATAGCGCTACAAGTTAAGCTACAGCTAACTTAAAACAACATGCTATATATCCCTTCGAAAAATTCCACAGCCCGATAAACTGCCAGGGTTTTACCGGTCTGGTCTTAGACTCTCACTGCCTAGATATATCCACTATTATATATATGCGCTTGGTGCAGCTAACCGCAATGATTGAGTCTATGATTAAAGTATCTTATCTCTTAACTTAGCTATGGTAAATTTTCTTAAATAGCTGGCATATATTATCTTATGAGATAGTCAGTCTGCATGCACGAATGCACGGATATGATAGCCACCCGGAGTGATCGCGTATGCGGAAGATTCGCACTCCCCGAGTGCCTTCTTTCTAGTTCTATCTGTTACAGCTCAGATTACAATAACATAAGTATGCATCATTGCATTAGCGCTTCAGGCTGTGCACGGCCTAAATACACGCACGCACGCACGCACGTGTTCATGTATACGTACGTGCCCACGCACACACAAACGCAAACACACACACGCACGCACACACGCACGCACGCGCGCATGCTCCCGCCTCAGATCAGTTTCCTGAGCGTACCACTGCAGGTTTCGACAATCAAGGAGCAAGGGGGTGGTTATCACGGGGAGCCAATTATTCTTGCTACATTCTCATCCGCGCTGCGCACGTGCACGGGTGCCATAAGCCAAACAATGATGATAACAAGGGGTATAAAGCTAGTTTTGCTATGCAATGGTGGAACAGAACAGCGTACACCTCTCCCACACTTCCTATCCCCCCATCAAAATTCCTCGCAAAAACAAGTAATTTAGATTTTCGATAGCAATTCCACTTGTTATTAACAAAAGCAATCAGGAACCCAAAAATGATGAAAACGATTCCACATCGCAGCAAAATAACTAAACTTTCGTGAACCCTGTGCGCGATTCAAACTCCAATCATGGAAATTCGACTCCATGCAAAAACTATGCTCTTTTAAAACCCCGCAAAACATGCGCATTCACCCGGATGTGCGGCGGCCATTGTTGTTCGACTACATGCTTTATTAATCACCTTTAAAATTTACAACCACCCCATACCAGTACTTTCGCTCGCGCATGCTTCAATTCAGTATCAACAAGAGCAATCGGAGATAGCAAACCTCCGCCACAGCGTAACAGTCCCCCCATCTTGCTGGTACACCCAATATAGTTTGATGAAATTTTCAGAAATTTGGAGAAAAAAAGATCCAGGATTTTTTTTAAAATAAATTTTGAATGCGTCCGAAGTCTTTCCCACAAAAAAGAAAAAAAAAGAAAAATCCTGGATCCATTTCTGGATCCGGATCACCACCAAAATCTATAACGCAATAAAAACAATTAAATTTGGCGCCTTCAGAATTACGTGAATGCTGCTGCTAAATTCATCCGCTCTTTACAATCGAATAGGGAGTAAAGAATATGATAGGTTATCATGATCTATTTCCAATGGATTGGGACCTTGTTAGCCTGTGTCCAGATACACTCTCATGTTAGGACCGATTGTTTCTGTTTCTAGACTGATTACGCGGGCTCCTCGAACACATTTTTTGCTAAAGGGCCGGACACACCAGGCGATGCCATCGGCCGATGCCATCGGCCGAT